GTAATAGCTGGAGCTGGCCGCGGGTTCCAGGGTCACCTACACGCTTGCAAGCGTCCTGCTAGGATCCTGAGCTCACGTGGCTGTTAAGGGATGGGCATTGCTTCATTTGGGCAGTCCTGGTAGGGATGGCAGCTCCTCCATCCACCTGCTGCTGGAGGGGCATTTGGGGACAATGAGGAACCCCAGGCAACCTTACCAGGCTTACCTTTAACATGGAAAACACAACCTCGGCACAAGAGCAGCAGGACATCGGGCTCATGGCTCCCCAGAGCAAAGCGCAGAAATGCAGCAGAGCCGGATCCCTGTGGAAACACATCCCAGCAACTCCCAGCCTGGGGCATGGTCAGAGGCCCCGGGAAGGGCCCAACTCTGCCACCCTGTGCTGAACTAGCAGGAAAGGCCCCACATCCATCTGTGACCTGTTAGCAAATGGCTTAAGAGTTTTATCTGCTCAGTTACCCATTATCCTAATTAGTTTATTAGCTGCTTCCCGCTGGGGTGGAGGGAACTCACTTGCTCTTGTTGTCACTAATTAGCAGTGCAGGTTGTGCAGCTCAGCTGCAAACGAGGGGCGACGTCGCCCTGCGGCGCCAGCGCCCAGCCCGGAGCGGGAGACGTGGCCGCGGTGCTTGGCCTCCATCCTGCCTCCCTCCTGCTTTGGAAACCTGTCCCAGATTTGCCCCTTGCTCCTTCCTTGGCCCTTGCTGGCTGGGACTTCCTGGGAGTTTGGAGGCAGAATCGCTTCCACGCATTGGGAAGTGTGAAAGAGAAGTCTGTTATATCAAAAGACAGGGCTATTAAAAGGTATCTCTGAGGACCTGTAGGTGGAATGCAAATAAAAGCCGGTAGCATGGCTGCATCCTGGGGGATTCCTTTGGATTCGAGGTAGTGTTAGGAAGCACCAGCCCTGCATCAGTCCCTTCTGGGCACATCCAAAACCTCCCTCCTTGGTGACTACCCCCTTCTCCACTCCATTTTTCTGTCATTTAAGCCAGTAGCCATGGGCTCTCCTTGGCCTCGCTGCAGCTTTCTCGTTTTTTTTGGCTGGTTTAGCCTGCAACTGAGAAAATGTTAGTAGTAGATTCAAAAAACACCCAGGTTTATAGGAGGCCCACGTTGCGTTCAGGAAAAGAGCCGTGTTTATCTTTCCAGGGCTGCGCTGGGGGAGCCGCCAGCCAAAAAGCAGCTTTTTCCTACCAGGTTTAATGCCACAAAATAAATACAGGAGCTTCCTTCCCCCTAGATAAGGGACCGGCGAGGGCTCGTCCATCCCAGCGTGGGACCCGGCGGCCCTGGCTGCTCCCGGCCCGGCTTGTGCTCCCGGGGGTGATAACCGGGGCCGTGGGGTCCAGACCCCCTTGGCCACCTGGAACAAACGTGGCCGAGGTTATCGCGGCCCCAAATCCGATGCTTTCCTGGGAAAGCAGCACCGCTGTTCCTGGGCTCCCCTTCCTGCGTTCCTGCAGTGAGCTCAGCACAGAGGCTCCATTCGCTCTCATGCCAGCGATGGGTGCGGGATGTTGGGGTGCCAGCCGCTTTCTTGAGAAGAGGGGCACAGGGAAGGGCATCTCCTGGCCACGCTGGGACTCGCTGCAGTCCCGCTGGGCCGTGTCGTGCCCTCCTCCTAAGGCACATGAGCAGCAGGGGTTATTTTCTCCCTCTCCCAGCCCCAGCGCTTTCATTTTTTTCCCAGCGCTCAGTTTAAAGCAAACAAACCAAAAAGGATGCGTTTCAGAGCCGGGAGCCCGTTCCTCACCAAATAAGGCCGGTGGCATTTTGGGGGTCTGAGCTCGTGAGTGTCCCTTTAAGCAGCCGGCATCTGGCTCCCGTCCCCAGTCCGACTCGGTGCTCCGGAGCTCCGGAGCGCAGCTCCGGGAGCA